AGAATGTTTAGAGCCAATAAAGAGATACATTTTTTAGTTACTGCACAGACACCAATATCCAAAACAACAAAACAACTCCAGCATTTTGAGTATGAAGCCTCTCATGCGTTATCAACATTGAAACCTTGAAGCTTATTAGATGATTCACTTACGAATTATCGCACGAAATTCATAATTTAAATTTTCCCAATTTCTTTAACAGAGATGAAAAAGAGAGTTGTAGTTCTTTATATATAGAGCGTTTCGTCCAACACTCGGCTTCTTAAAGGCTTTTTTCATTTCCCATTTCACTGACTGTCGGCATATTATTATTGTTCAGTGGCGGATTTAAAGGTCCAGGGGCCCTAAGTGAACAACAATTAGGGAGGCCCTTTCAGGGGACCCTTGCTGCTGTCAACAATTGTACTGCTGGAAATTATATTTAAAGAAATATGAGAACTTAGGTAGTAGGTTGGTAGACAGCAACCACCCAGGGAAGTACTACCGTCCTGCCAGATGACTGTGAAACAGAAACCTGTAACTGTTTTGCACGATGGTAGGATTGCTGGTTTCTTTTTCTGTCTCATAAACACGCTAGATAACAGGGATATCTTGCTACTCCTACTTACACTTTGGTCACACTTCACAGACACGCACATGCATATATATATATATACATACATCTAGGTTTTTCTCCTTTTTCTAAATAGCTCTTGTTCTTCTTTATTTCTTCTATTGTCCATGGGGAAGTGGAAAAGAATCTTTCCTCCGTAAGCCATGCGTGTCGTATGAGGCGACTAAAATGCGGGGAGCAATGGGCTAGTAACCCCTTCTCCTGTAGACATTTACTAAAAAAGAGAAGAAGAAAAACTTTATAAAACTGGGATGCTTGAATGTGCATGGATGTAGTGCGGATGACAAGAAACAGATGATTGCTGATGTTATGAATGAAAAGAAGTTGGATGTCCTGGACCTAAGTGAAACAAAGCTGAAGAGGGTAGGGGAGTTTCGGTGGGGGGAAATAAATAGGATTAAATCTGGAGTATCTGAGAGAGTTAGAGCAAAGGAAGGGGTAGCAGTAATGTTGAAGGATCAGTTATGGAAGGAGAAAAGAGAATGTGAATGTGTAAATTCAAGAATTATGTGGATTAAAGTAAAGGTTTGATGCGAAAAGTGGGTCAAAATAAGCGTGTATGCACCTGGAGAAGAGAGGAATGCAGAGGAGAGAGAGAGATTTTGGGAGATGTTAAGTGAATGTATAGGAGCCTTTGAACCAAGTGAGAGAGTAATTGTGGTAGGGGACCTGAATGCTAAAGTAGGAGAAACTTTTAGAGAGGGTGTGGTAGGTAAGTTTGGGGTGCCAGGTGTAAATGATAATGGGAGCCCTTTGATTGAACTTTGTATAGAAAGGGGTTTAGTTATAGGTAATACATATTTTAAGAAAAAGAGGATAAATATGTATACAAGATATGATGTAGGGCGAAATGACAGTAGTTTGTTGGATTATGTATTGATAGATAAAAGACTGTTGAGTAGACTTCAGGATGTACATGTTTGCAGAGGGGCCACAGATATATCAGATCACTTTCTAGTTGTAGCTACACTGAGAGTAAAAGGTAGATGGGATACAAGGAGAATAGAAGCATCAGGGAAGAGAGAGGTGAAGGTTCATAAACTAATAGAGGAGGCAGTTAGGGTAAGATATAAACAGCTATTGGAGGATAGATGGGCTAATGAGAGCATAGGCAATGGGGTCGAAGAGGTATGGGGTAGGTTTAAAAATGTAGTGTTAGAGTGTTCAGCAGAAGTTTGTGGTTACAGGAAAGTGGGTGTGGGAGGGAAGAGGAGCGATTGGTGGAATGATGATGTAAAGAGAGTAGTAAGGGAGAAAAAGTTAGCATATGAGAAGTTTTTACAAAGTAGAAGTGATGCAAGGAGGGAAGAGTATATGGAGAAAAAGAGAGAGGTTAAGAAAGTGGTGAAGCAATGTAAAAAGAGAGCAAATGAGAGAGTGGGTGAGATGTTATCAACAAATTTTGTTGAAAATAAGAGAAAAAGTTTTGGAGTAAGATTAACAAGTTAAGGAAACCTAGAGAACAAATGGATTTGTCAGTTAAAAATAGGAGAGGAGTGTTATTAAATAGAGAGTTGGAGGTATTGGGAAGATGGAGGGAATATTTTGAGGAATTGTTAAATGTTGATGAAGATAGGGAAGCTGTGATTTTCGTGTATAGGGCAAGGAGGAATAACATCTTGTAGGAGTGAGGAAGAGCCAGTTGTGAGTGTGGGTGAAGTTCGTGAGACAGTAGGTAAAATGAAAGGGAGTAAGGCAGCCGGGATTGATGTGATAAAGATAGAAATGTTAAAAGCAGGTGGGGATATAGTTTTGGAGTGGTTGGTGCAATTATTTAATAAATGTATGGAAGAGGGTAAGGTACCTAGGGATTGGCAGAGAGCATGCATAGTTCCTTTGTATAAAGGCAAAGGGGACAAAAGAGAGTGCAAAAATTATAGGGGGATAAGTCTGTTGAGTATACCTGGTAAAGTGTATGGTAGAGTTATTATTGAAAGAATAGGATAGCAGATGAACAAGGGGGCTTTAGGAAAGGTAGGGGGTGTGTGGACCAGGTGTTTACAGTGAAACATATAAGTGAACAGTATTTAGATAAGGCTAAAGAGGTCTTTGTGGCATTTATGGATTTGGAAAAGGCGTATGACAGGGTGGATAGGGGGCAATGTGGCAGATGTTGCAGGTGTATGGTGTAGGAGGTAGGTTACTGAAAGCAGTGAAGAGTTTTTACGAGGATAGTGAGGCTCAAGTTAGAGTATGTAGGAAAGAGGGAAATTATTTCCCAGTAAAAGTAAGCCGTAGACAAGGATGTGTGATGTCACCGTGGTTGTTTAATATATTTATAGATGGGGTTGTAAGAGAAGTAAATGCGAGGGTCTTGGCAAGAGGCGTGGAGTTAAAAGATAAAGAATCACACATAAAGTGGGAGTTGTCACAGTTGCTCTTTGCTGATGACACTGTGCCCTTGGGAGATTCTGAAGAGAAGTTGTAGAGATTGGTGGATGAATTTGGTAGGGTATGCAAAAGAAGAAAATTAAAGTGTGAATACAGGAAAGAGTAAGGTTATGAGGATAACAAAAAGATTAGGTGATGAAAGATTGGATATCAGATTGGAGGGAGAGAGTATAGAGGAGGTGAATGTATTCAGATATTTGGGAGTGGACGTGTTAGCGGATGGGTCTATGAAAGATGAGGTGAATCATAGAATTGATGAGGGGAAAAGGGTGAGTGGTGCACTTAGGAGTCTGTGGAGACAAAGAACTTTGTCCTTGGAGGCAAAGAGGGGAATGTATGAGAGTATACTTTTACCAACGCTCTTATATGGGTGTGAAGCATGGGTGATGAATGTTGCAGCGAGGAGAAGGCTGGAGGCAGTGGAGATGTCATGTCTGAGGGCAATGTGTGGTGTGAATATAATGCAGAGAATTCGTAGTTTGGAAGTTAGGAGGAGGTGCGGGATTACCAAAACTGTTGTCCAGAGGGCTGAGGAAGGGTTGTTGAGGTGGTTCGGACATGTAGAGAGAATGGAGCGAAACAGAGTGACTTCAAGAGTGTATCAGTCTGCAGTGGAAGGAAGGCGGGGTAGGGGTCGGCCTAGGAAAGGTTGGAGGGGGGGGGTAAAGGAGGTTTTGTGTGCGAGGGGCTTGGACTTCCAGCAGGAATGCGTGAGCGTGTTTGATAGGAGTGAATGGAGACAAATGGTTTTTAATACTTGACGTACTGTTGGAGTGTGAGCAAAGTAACATTTATGAAGGGGTTCAGGGAAACCGGCAGGCCGGACTTGAGTCCTGGAGATGGGAAGTACAGTGCCTGCACTCTGAAGGAGGGGTGTTAATGTTACAGTTTAAAAACTGTAGTGTAAAGCACCCTTCTGGCAAGACAGTGATGGAGTGAATGATGGTGAAAGTTTTTCTTTTTCGGGCCACCCTGCCTTGGTGGGAATCAGCCAGTGTGATAATAAAAAAAAATGAGAACTTAATCTAAAATTCGCATTATCTCCACCCTTCTTCAATAAAATTGTAAAGTGGCACCTAAACATCTCGAAATGAACATACATTTTTGTTCAGGCAAATGTATAAGCAAACTCTTCCAGTGGGCATCAGAGAATAACATAATGTTCGATGAGGACAAGTTCCAGCTGCTTACATATGGAAAAACTGAGGAAATCAAAAGGGACATTGTGTATAAAACACAAGATCACCAAACAGAACGAAAGGAACAAGTGGCAGACATGGGCTTAATAATGTCAGCAGTCTTACCATTTACAAATACAATAAGGTAACTAACTATATTGCGAAGCCCAAAACAATGACTGGGAGAATAACGAAAACTTTCAAAACGGGTGAAATTGTGCCAGTGGTGACATTTTCCAAACCACTTGTGCTCTCTTGTTTAGAGTACTGTTCATTGTTGACGACTCCCATTAGATCAGAAAATGTGTTAGAGCAGTAACATGTTGCAATCCCTTTATGACCAACAAAAAATCAATAAACCATTTAAATTACTGAGAACGCCTGAAAGACCTATTTACTCTCTGAAACGGAACTAGAGATGCAAGATAATATATACACAGTAAATACAGAAGGGCCAAGTCCCACTTCTACACACTACCACAACACCGTATTGGACTGAGAGATATGGGAGAAAATGTCAACTAAATCTCGACTTTCTGTATATTTTCAAGACGAGTTTTCTTAAATTTTTTTGAGCTTACGATAGCATGATTATAGGATCTCATTATAATTTAAATCATGTTATTGAAGAAAGAATATCTTACATGTGTTCTGAAAATTCTATAATCCTCATTGTCTCTTATAACCTCTCTGCAAGGGGAAAAAAAAAACTGGTTAAATCGGTGACCTGTAAAAGTTGAGTGCCCTGCCTGTCGCCGTTGTGTTCAGCTCTGGTGGGGGTATATATACCTGGTCCCAGGCGCTCAGCATACATCCTCAGCTGGTACTCACATCGACAACATGAAGATCGTGAGTACTGGCTGAGACACAGGCTGGAAAAAATCATTCATTTGACCCACAATTTTTTAAGATTCTTAACAGAATTTATGTTTTATTAGAGGTGATCTAAAAACACTTAAGCTCGTCTGCATAGTCTCCCAGTTTTAATATAATTAAACATATAACATGAAATGGGAAATAAAACATTTTTCAAGGCTATAAAAGGCTCTTTGTCGAACACTTATATAGACACAAACTGAAAAACACGCACTTCTCTAGGCACCATCTGTTCTTCTGTAAAGCTTCAAGCTTATCAAGTCTAAAATATGACTAGATCATTCAAAATTTGAGTCAGCCCATTAGCTGTTCTAGACAACTGTGTTAACTCTGCATTTTTATTAGCTTTAGTGAAACAGTTTGAGAGGTTATTTGTTAATAAATTACTAATGTTAATAATATGGTAATATTTTAAAGAAAATAATTCAAATAAAGATGTGAAATGATTTGTTAAATTGCTTCATTATCAAGGATAAATGATATACTGACTCTTAAATTAAAGTTATGATGAGGCTTTCATTACACTGTTAACAAGATAAAGTGACACGTATTACAGGAGGAACCATCATGGTGCAGAGTTCACTTCTATAGGTAATTCCCCTAGTCTCACCATTTTTATTTCACGCTGACTCAGGCATTAGTCATCTGCTTGGTCGCCCTGGCTACAGCTGCTCCTCAGCATCCAGATAAAGACGCCCAGATCGTCTTGGAAGAGAGAAGCGACACCGCAGACGGAAATTTCTATTACCGGTTTGAAACCAGCAACGGAATCTCTGAACAGAGGACTGGCACTCCAGGCTCTGAGGGTCAGAGCAACATGGACGGCGCCTTCAGGTGAGAAACATTGTTTTATTACTGAAATATCTGTCGAACTTGTAATACTGTACAGACACAATTATTATTATTATCAAAACGAAGGGCTAAACCACCGGGGTCATACAGCGCTGCTGTACAGACGCAAGTGTAATAAGAAATTAGCCTGTATCACAGTCTGCTGAAGTGTTTCTCGGAACATGCCTATATGAAGAGCGCTCGTTTTAGTTTCTATGATATTTTCTACATGAGGCTTCGTTTGCTCATGCACCGTATTTCTGGAATGAAGTAATATTTAGAAGCAAATTTTGTTTTGTAATGAACGTGTCTGGTTCCTCAGGTTCCGCCTTCCTGACGGCACCATCGCTGAGGTCCGCTACGTTGCTAACGAATACGGCTACCAGCCTGAGTCTGATCTCATCCCCAAGCCCCACCCACTCCCTCCTCACGCCATCGAGCAGATCCGCGTCGCCGAGGAGCAGCGTCGCAAGGGCATCACCTTTGATAAATAATAAATAAGTTCGAGGTCGACCTTCTCCTCCTCTGTTACCTCTGTTACTGATCTTCCTGTATAGAATGGCCTGTTGAGGGTAACTTTTATGGTATCCTCCAGCTCACCATGCCCTAGACATACGCCATCTTTATCAACAGTGTACAATAAATGTAACAATATTCGTCATTGATTAATAAGCTCCAGGTCGACCTACTCGTTGACCTCTGTTGTGGACATTCTTGTATATAGTGATAAACAAATAACCCGCACATAAAAGAGAGAAGCTTACGACGACGTTTCGGTCCGACTTGGACCATTTACAAAGTCACAGTGTGACTTTGTAAATGGTCCAAGTCGGACCGAAACGTCGTAGTCGTCGTAGTAAGCTTCTCTCTTTTATGTGCGGGTTATTTGTGTATCGTTCCAGTCACGGTATTGTGCCTCTTTTTTTTTTTTTTTTTTTTTTTTTTTTTTTTTTTTTTTTTTTTTTTTTTATTCGCCGGTATTCTCCCGGCCCGGGTCTTTTCCAAGTAGTGGTGACCCGGCCTTGGCTCCCTATCTGGGGAGTGTCTCGAGACTTAAGTCTCCCATGGGAGGAGGTACAAGTACCCCCTCATCTTTGGGACCAACTGTCCCCAGGCCTAGCCACATTCCCCGCCCTCACGGGGCTCGTAGGGAGAAGCTAGGCCTCTGGTCTGCCATCTGCCCCGCCCTAAAAGGGCTCGTGGGGATGGCAGTCTTATGAGCTGCAGATGGTAGCAAGCTCAGGCTATTTTTCTCTTTTTGTTATTTGTATATAGTGAGCTGGTGAGGGTAGCTTCTGCGGTCTCCTTGAGCGCACCAAGCCCTGGACACACACTTTATCATTAATGTACAATAAATGTAACAATATGTGTCATTTTTGCATATTTATTTTCCTGTTTAGTATTAGGATGAATAAACTGAAATTCAGTGCTGGGAAAGAATGCAAAAGCCATCTTCTAGCTTACGATTTTTATTTCTGAAGACGAGTTCGCTATCTAAAGATTTCACGATTCTTAATTAGTAGGATAATGATTCATCCAACTATGTATATTTCCGTACTTAGATATTATTATTATTATAATCATGGGGAGCACTAAACCCTTAGGGATTATACAGCACTTGAGAAGGGATGAATGGTATTCAGGCTCAATTTAGATCTAATTCCCTAAATCAAGAGCCCTTCATCAGCGTCAAGGAACCTCCCTTAAGGGGTGTACTTAAATACCATGGGCACCATTGTGATCACAATGCTGCTTGTGTAGACAAATCTCCCTTCAACATTTGCGAGTTATTTCTAGGGACGAGTTTGGGTTCAAGTGAAGGAAATGTAATATTTAAAATGAGATGATTCAACAAATTACTGCATTATTTTCCTCAGTTTATTCAATCAATAAACACCAAACAATACCTCAGAAATAAGGGTTGTTAAACCATTAAATAAATTTGCATTTATCCCACAAGTTTTCACAAAAACCACAATGATATATGGGGAAGCCGGTAAAACAGCATATATGTACTTATTCTCAATGACTTTTAGACAGTATCGAATTCCAGATTCCATCTTATAAGAACCCTTTTGTTTTACATAGGTTTCCACATAGCCACGACCTCGTTACCAACACGGAATGTGGAATATAAATAATATATAATGAATGATAATTACCACCGAATGTAACAAATAAGTTTTAAGACAAATGTAGATAAGACACATAGGCAACATTTAGGCAACTGTATTCCGAAACGTTTCGCCTACACAGTAGGCTTCTTCATTCGAGTACAGAAAGTAGGCAGGAGCAGTAGAGACGTGAAGACGATATAATCAGTCCATCACCCTTGAAGTCGTAGATTTGAGGTTGTCAGTCCCTCAGCCTGGAGAAGTTCTGTTCCAAAGTCTGGAACTAACTTCTGAATCTACGACTTCAAGGGTGATGGACTGATTACATCGTCTTCACGTCTCTACTGCTCCTGCCTACTTTCTGTACTCGACTGAAGAAGCCTACTGTGTAGGCGAAACGTTTCGGAATAAAGTTGACTAAATGTTGCCTATGTGTCTTATCTACCAACCTGTCGGTATTGTATACCATTTGATAATCAAGACAAATGTAATAATCACAAATAATGGGAAATGAAAACTCAGTCAATATTGGTTAAATTATAATCCCCCACAAAAAAGACTCAACAATATAATAGTAATTAGGCACAATAAGTTACGTTTTATGGAATATAATCATACTCTAATAATCCCACTTGTAGGCTACACGTTTTTTTTTTTAAGAATTTAAGAGTCCTAAGGGAAGAATTAACATCCCCCCCCCATTCCTTGCTTCACCCATAACACACGAAATCCTGATCCTGCTGTTCAGATCCTCTCAATTATTATTATTATTATTATTATTATTATTATTATTATTATTATTATTATTATTATTATAATCTGAAAGAAGTGCTAAACCGCAGGGGTTATACAGAGGATCCTCTCAATACTTTTGCAACTTCTTATTATAATAATTTATATTTATTAATAATAATAAATATAAATAATCCGATGCTCTAAGCTATATTACAATAATTCCTCATATAACCCACAAAAAATGAAGTCAAGCGAATTTAAAGATGTTTTAATGTGAAGCCAATTTTTTTTTATTTACAGAAACATAAAATTAATAATACGTGACACTGATGTCAAAGTGACCGGAGGTGAGGGGAAATAAATAAAGCTGGAGCTTTTGGTCATCTGACCAAGGCCTTTCGCTGGCTTACCTCTCTACCTCTTTAAAAAATAAAGTTATGATTAGAATCACTAGGTTACTAGATTTTTCAGTCTTAGTAGTAAATGAATACTTAGTGGATATACTACTGGAAATCAAGTAGGCCAACTGATGTCACACTGGGTGAAACGTTGTGAAGTCACTTTTCTCCCTAACTGAAGTGGTTTAGACTCACCACTTGTCTGCTTATGTCTTTGTCTACCCACTTGATGTCGCACTGTTGACAGCAAATAAATCGATTAAGCAAGTAATAACTCGAATGGTGTCATTGAGATATAACTCGGATGATGTCACTGAGATGTAACTTGGTTGGTTTTAACAAGAAATGACTCGAATGATTCCAGCTAGACATGACTTCATTGATTCCAACGAGACATGACTCGAATGATACCAACTAGACATGATTTGAACAATTCCAACGACACATGACTCGGTGAAAACTATACCGTCGCATATGTGATTTAGTTTATAATTGAGTTGTTCCTCCCAAAAATATATTATTTGGTCGCATATGAAACGAAATAAGAGGCTGTAATATGCAGAGTGAGAGAGAGAGAAAAAAAATAAGTGAGTTATTTAGACGCACCTAACCTGTATCGTGTTATAATGATACTCGCTACCGATATATTGACGAATAAGACACATGTGCAATACTAGTCATCTTTATTAAAGAAACTTTCGTGAGTAAAGACTGAAACTTTCCGTGAGTAAAGATTCCTCGAGTTGCATATGTGTCTTACTCATCGCCCGCATTTTGCACCTTCGAATAAACACACTGCAACAACAAAAATTCATCTCTGCAAAAGCAATTAACTGCAAGGAGGATGGGGAGGGGGAAGAAAGAATAAGAATGCAACATAAAAACAGAAGTGTCTTTGTTGTGTAAGGAAAGTTGAGTCGTGTTTAAGAGAGTCTCTATTGCTTTCTGGAGGTCACTCAGATGCTATCAATCCTCCAGCGAGCGGCCCAGCTGAGCACCACACCAAGACGAAAGTGAGGGGTGAAAGGGAAAGGGAGTGAGAGGGGAAAGAGGGGGGATGATGAGAGGGAGAGAAAGATAGTGTTACAGGAATGGAGAGGAGGGGAAAGAGAGAGAATGTTAAAAGATAAGAGGGTATGGTAAAAGGGTGAGAATGGTAAAGAGACAGCAAGTCAGCAGGAGGGAAGGTATATTTTCTTATACGAGAACTAATTAAACGACTCACTATATACCACTACTGGCACTGATGCCTATGCAGGTGGCTGCACTCTGACCTCTGCTTGAACAAACCAGCTGCCCACTACTTTCATTTTCCTCAGACACCAGCCTGTAGCTATATCCACCTGAGGCAGACAACGCAAGCCTGCTGAGGATCACTTAACACCTGGCGTTAGTGTAGTTATCACTGAACACTACCACTGGCACTGGTATAATCAACAGACATGACGTGACTACTGGCACTGATGTTATAATCACTAGGCACTACTATTGGCACTAGCGTGATGATCAATAGCCACCATGACATCAATTCTGGCACTGGTGTGAGGTTGAGTGAAAAAAAAAAATTGACTACAAAGTAGATATCCTCGGGTTTTCTCTGTGATAGATAGAAAACTCGACTCGTGAACCTTACAAGCAAAGTAACCTGTGCTTGCACATAAGGATAAATCTATCATGATCCACTGCTGATCTACCGAGCATCACCACTGCTGATCCACCGAGCATCACCACTGCTGATCTACCGAGCATCGCCACTGCTGATCCACCGAGCATCACCACTGCTGATCCACCGAGCATCACCACTGCTGATCCACCGAGCATCACCACTGCTGATCCACCGAGCATCACCACTGCTGATCTACCGAGCATCACCACTGCTGATCTACCGAGCATCACCACTGCTGATCCACCGAGCATCACCACTGCTGATCTACCGAGCATCGCCACTGCTGATCCACCGAGCATCACCACTGCTGATCCACCGAGCATCACCACTGCTGATCCACCGAGCATCACCACTGCTGATCCACCGAGCATCACCACTGCTGATCTACCGAGCATCACCACTGCTGATCTACCGAGCATCACCACTGCTGATCCACCGAGCATCACCACTGCTGATCTACCGAGCATCACCACTGCTGATCCACCGAGCATCACCACTGCTGATCTACCGAGCATCACCACTGCTGATCTACCGAGCATCACCACTGCTGATCTACCGAGCATCACCACTGCTGATCCACCGAGCATCACCACTGCTGATCTACCGAGCATCACCACTGCTGATCCACCGAGCATCACCACTGCTGATCCACCGAGCATCACCACTGCTGATCCACCGAGCATCACCACTGCTGATCCACCGAGCATCACCACTGCTGATCCACCGAGCATCACCACTGCTGATCCACCGAGCATCACCACTGCTGATCTACCGAGCATCACCACTGCTGATCCACCGAGCATCACCACTGCTGATCTACCGAGCATCGCCACTG